GGTTTAGGCCAGTTAGGCTCTATACCCGTTGTAAAGCGTATTAATGTGCTTAACTTTAAGAAGTTATTTAGCCACTTTAGTTGTTACAAACCTTATCAAAACAGATGGGCCTATGGGCTAGGCTACATGAGGTGTGCGACTATGATTTTAAAGTTGCAAAAAAAAGCATTAGCTGTTTCTTGCCTTAAGCTGGGCATCATTCGCAAGTGATAATAGACTAAAACCCAACTCCTTGAGATCCAATCCAAGACCCGAGACCGATTTCAAGTACAAAAGGGGCCGTCATTTGAAAACAAACATGAAAACGTAAAACATGTCAATATTCTGGACAATTTTAGGGGCAATAAACTTTCTGCTGTCATTTACTGACATGTCATTTGAAATGGCAGTCGTGCTGGAGGTTGGTCTCAGTTGGTCTAGCGGCACTAGTGCTGAGCGATTTACTGCTTTTTTAGGTCTGTTTTGGTGTGATTATTAAAAAATAGTCACGGTTTTCGGTTTCGATAATTATTTTCAACATTAAATGCATTGTGGGTTGAATGCTGTAACAACACAGAATAAAACAATTAATACAAGTCCCATGATGGTAGTGACTGCCCATTACTTCTTATCACTTATTAACCATCATTTATTTACATTACTTTATTAAAATATGTTTTATTTGATTACTTTATTTAATTCCAAGTCATCTCATCTCTATAGAGCTGCTGCCTGACATAATCACTATTTTAGTAGTTCTTCAAAGTAAATAAGGCATACTTTTATGACTGCTGAATACAAGCTATCAATCATTTAGAAAATGTATTTTCAGGTAGAGATGCCTCGCAAAGCAACTGCCCTCTATCCCTCTCCATCACGCATTCTTCTGTCCGTTCTCTCTGCGCTAAACTAAGTAGAATATTGGCCTGTTGGAAACTACAACTCCCTACAACATCGCACAGTTCGGGCTTGATCTGATTTATCTATAGAGAAACTAACTGCACATTCAAATAATTGAACCTATGTTGGTCAATTAGTTGTTTAAAAAACGAATTTTGGTTAATCACTCAGCTCTCTGGA